ACCCATTCAATTGCTTATTCTTCTTATGCTCCACAAATTTGAAATTTTTCAAGGGATACTTTCCTAGAGATCCACATGACTCAACCCAAATGCGTTTCTTATTATAAGAATCTAATATTTTAATCTGCATTAAAATAGAAGAAGTTATGCACCAAAAAAATTATGCATTATAATTTACATAATGTCCTTTCATACATACATACATATCAATCTCTTAGCATCATTCACTCTCTGTTTAGCTGCTTCAGTTGTAAACATACTATCATATATTGTTACAACATGATCTACCATATCCAACACCAACAGATACCAATGTGAATTATGGTAGTTTATTGTGATCATTATCTGCAACAAATTTCACACCCAATTTGACAAAATTCAACATTCTATATCCGAAAACATCATTTGCAATTGGTATGGTGTCTTACCTTCTCACAGTCGGTCAATTTCACATAGTTATCCAATATGACACCCCAGAAGGTAGAAATACCCTCAACACTTTCTTTGTTGTTGCCTTCCAACGCCTGTTGCTGTAATTACGCAACAAACATTATTAATTTACCGTCTATAACACTACTTTTCAATATTTATTAATTTAACTCACCACTAAGAGGTATGGAAGGTAGCCAATCCTCCGGTGTGACTTTTGAGAATCGTAGCATATGGTCCAGGCGAGCAAATCGATAACCTAACAAAATTAATTACACAATCAGAACATATTCAATAAGTTTTATTTATTTTCTACTTTCTACTTACCACACCGCCAACCCATTCCGTAGGCTTCAACGTTGCAACGTCGTATACAGTAGTGAATTGATTTCCCATTGATATTACAGAATATCTGTATGAATCATTAGGATTAATATATTGTCATGAAATATTTAATATCACTCACAAAACAATATATTTCACTTACCCCGATTCTAACTCGCTATTCCATAAATAATCACAATTGCAGCTTCGATGTCATCAATTCCGGTTGGAATGTCCGCTTTTTCAACCTACAATTTTGCATACAAATTTTTGTCACAACAACATAATAAAAATCAAATTAAGTATTCTTTTATTAAACTTACCTTCTGCTTCTTCTTCTGGGGTGCAGGACATTCCAAATCCAAAACTGCTGCTATAACACTCTCCGGTGTATAAATGACATCGACTTCCTTCCTCCTCATTTCTTCCATCTCTTCTTCTTCCTCCTCCCTCTTTCTTCTTCATATTTTTTCAGTTCATCGTACTTTTTTTCTACATAGCTCTTCATATCTTTTATTTCACCCTTCAATTGAGCTCCTTCATCCGAGTATTTATCAACCACCCCTTCACCCCCGTAAGTTCACTCCTCAAATCAACAACCTCCTTCACCACTCCCTCAAATTTTTCTCCCGTCACCATCTTAATATCACCCTTAACACCGAAACTTCTTTCACCACTTCACCCCTCAACACCTCTACTTCTTTCACCACTCCATCTATTTTTCCTTCCACTACCCCCTTATGCCTCTCGAGTTTCTCTACGACTTGATCAAGTTTCTCTTCGACTCTTGATTGTCTTTGCATGATTTTAAATTGGATTTTTTTTATATCAGCCAATTCAGACATCAAAATGTCGAAGTTACTCTGTTTTGCTTCACCGTCGTCCCACTCACCTTCATCCCCCAATACAACCATCCCTCCTTTCTTCTCCTCTGCCTCCACTGCCTCCTCTACATCCTTGCCAATAACCTTCAAAAAATTAAATTACAATATTAAGACATTGATTATATTCTTAATATTATTTAATTACATTTATTACCATTTCTTGCTTCTTCCCTCTATCCAACTTCAACTTCACCATCACTCTAACCACCTCTTCCTTCCCCCATGCACGGATGCGTGCCACTCCGGTTCTTTCATAAGCCGGCACTGCCTCACAGCCCGACCAAAAATCGAACAGTGCAACCTGCATTTATAATAAAATTTATATTTTTTATAAAAACACAAAAAAGTGATTCAACTCATTTACCTCTAAGATTGCTATGCACCCTTTGAGGTATCTCTGGCTGCCCTTTTTAAAGGTGATAATTGATTCAATCAATCTCGAATGGATATATTCAGCCCAATTGAATTCACCCTTCAAGCCTTCATCGCAAATGAGCTTCATATATTCCTTGTTCGTTGACGTATCACCCGTTGGACAAAGAAATATACCGACAAGGTACAATAGAACTCGGGCCTTCAGCTCATCCCCCAAGTAAGATCCACTTTTGATATCCTCTTCAACTTCAGTATATGTCACCTTATGATTCAAACCATATTTGGAGGCAAGTGCTTTCCAGTTCTTACTCCTACAGACTTCTATAACACTTTTGCCTTTGTTTTGTACCCCCAATACGGCTGCAGCAGTCGATACCCCCAGAGGGAATGAATAATCACCATACTTAGCCATACATTGACTGACGTCAAATTGTGCCATCAAGGATCGACACAATTCCCTCCGAATAGGTCGATCCCTTACTCCGATCAACGATCCAAAACCTATTTCTCCCAGCACATTCAACTGACCCTTCTCCTTAAGGTGTTTAATTAATAAATTCACCCTTTTAATGCTGCATCTTGTCGACACTTCCTACATTTTTTAACAATATATAATGTTATAGTTCTTATATATTTTGTATCAACGTATTTACAAGTTTAATGAATACCTTATTTTCATGTGCTTTCCTCCGTTCTTTGTATTCTTTACTATCATTCCTTGACTGTGTGATGTAAGGTTCCTTTTCAGCATCACTCATTGAATTCCATTTGGACCTCACATCTTTTTTCACCTAATATTAAACATAAACGTTTCTTAATCAATACATTAACACTAAATACTAATACTACTCAATGTCAATTTCATTTTACATACCGAACCGCTCTGTGTGCCATCTCCCTTCATCCTTTTGCATTCGGCCATACTGTTAACATTTAAAATTTGTAATCAATTTAAAGTTTATCGATACTTTAATCCAATTACCATTTCAACAATAATAACAAAAAGACATTGATACTTACTAGAAGTACATATATCCACCCTTTGGTTGCTTTCGAGTCTCGGCCTCAATTTCAAAGTCATCTGCTCCACCAACAATTTTCCAACCCATTGACTCCATTTTTCCTTCATATATCAGTTTACGCAAATCAAATTATTTTGTTACATACACTTTTCAATATACAAATATAGATAACTACTCTTGTGGTAAAACGGTTTTCTTCAAAAGAATTTGAATGGCCACACCAAAATGTGTCGGCACATTTATACAACCTATAATATCATTTTCTACGTATAATATTTAATAAAAGTATCGACATTTATATTTTTCCTTGAATATCTATTTCTACCTGCAATCGGTCCCAAATGCTTCCTTACTCCAAAACCCCAAACAACACATAAAAAACCCTATCGCGATTACTGTAATAATAAAAAATTAGGGTTTCGACAACATACTTTTCGATTCGACTGCAGCAACAAACAAACAACTTCGCTTTAGAAACGCCTTCTGAAATGCAGCAACAATTACTCTTCGATTTCAAAAACTCGTCCGTTCTATCTTTTTTCACAGGATATTTAGCTATGGCCTTTATATTTTCATCGGATATGTTATTTATATTTAATCGATACAAATACAAAAGTGTCGATACTTTTATGTCAGGTGTCGATACTTTCGAAAGGATAATTACCTATTTCTTTGAAAGTGTCGATAATTTATTACACGTACTTACGAAAGTATCGACACTTTCAATATATCCGGTATCATTTTACCGTTTTTATCATTTTGATACCGGTTTTATCATATTTTTACCTGTTATATCGTTGTGGATCGATATATTTTTTTAAAGTATCGACACATTATAGGCGCTATAACTGCTTCTCTTTTAAATTCACAAAGTGTCGATCCTTATATAACGTATCGACACTTTTAAATTTACCGGTTTTATCATTTTGTTACCGGTTTTATCATATTTTTACCTGGTATATCGTTTTGGATCGATATATTTTTAAAAGTATCGACACTTTTTAGGATTTAAAACTGCTTTTAAAGTTATGTAATTTATGTTTCAATTTATTTAATAGTGTTTCATGTTTTCCACCTACAATATTAATTTAATAATTTAATTTACACAAAATTTTATTTGATTGTTTTGATATTTTATAAAATATTATTTAGCATTTAAATTTAACAATATTAACCAAATATAATAATAAATATGTTTTCAACAGTGAAATAAGTATGGACACTTTTATAAAAATGATATATACTTTTTGAAAGTTATGTAATTTATGTTTCAATTTTTTAATAGTGTTTCATGTTTTCCACCTACAATATTAATTTAATAATTTCATTTACACAAAAAATTATTTGATTGTTTTGATATTTTATAAAATATTATTTAGATTTTAAATTTAACAATATTAACTAAAGATAATAATAAATATATTTTCACAGTGAAATAAGTATGGACACTTTTATAAAAAGGATAGATAATTTACAATATAACAGGTAAAAATATGACAAAACCAGATTCATTATGACAAAACCGGTAAAATTTACTTGATATGTTAAACGTATGGACACTTTTATAAAAAGGATAGATACTTACCGATAACCAAAGTTTACCGGTTACCAAATTTTTTAATAGTTTTTCATATTTTCTACCTAAAACATTATTAGTTGTCAACATAATAGGTACCGCTAAACCGAATTTATTAAATACATTTTAATGTATCCGGTAATGCTGTATATTAGCCGTATATTAACCCGCCTTTCCTGAGACATTCCCACTGACTTGGGACTTGATAATAATGGAGAACAAATAGTTGGGGTAAAAGTAGAATTTCAGAAAGAAAAAAAAATCTTGGAGGAGAGTGAGACTCGCGACAAGTCGGCTAAACCGCGTGGAATTCACGCGTATGTATTCGTCCCATAATTATAAACAGCCCGACCCGAAATTTTCTTGGGTGGATGATTCGAGATCTTTTCATCTTTTGGGGGATTTTGAAAGCAGAAAATTTTGTCGGTCATAAATAATTTCGTTTCTTAGCAATAGAAATTTCCGGGGAAGAGGGAATATAGTGAATATCTGAATCGGAGGGAAAGATGGCGGAGGAAGAAAAGAAGAAGAGGGTGGTGGTGGAGTCGCTAGGATGGCTAACGGAGTCTTCCATCATGCCCAAGAAGCACCGCGCCATCGAAGGCGTCGGCGCCTCCTCTATCCTCGAACTCAAAGCCCATCTCTACAAATCCCAGGAAGAATCCAAGAAATCCAAGGAATTAAACGGTCCCGATGTTGAGTACCACCGCGCCAAGAAAAAAATTGCCCCTCACGATACCTTCTCCTTCAAAAACTCCGGCGTTGACGCTCGCGCCGTCAAGTATTTTCCTTCTTCATTATTAGCTTCTTTGTATTTTTCTTTTTATTTTTGGGCCTCTCAATTTTGTTCATTTGATTATAGGGACAAGCTGGAGCTGAAGGCGGTGAAGGATGGATCTGCCAGTTACGCGGCACTGGAGAAGAAAGCTAAATTATATGATAAGTTAGTGAGAGGGGAGTTGTCGGATGAGGAAGATAAGGAGAAGTATTGTGTTGACTTTTTCAGGAAGGGCATTGAGGAGGAGGAATCCCAGCAGCCTCAATCTGAATCATGTAATCGTGCTTCGGATAATTTACAAGCAGGAGATCAAGGCGTTGAGAATGATGATGGTGCTTCTTTGTTTAACACCAAGTTTGTAGGGCCTGGAAGAACAACTGGAATCATTGACAACGATGAGCATAAGCGTTTTGTAAGGTGAGGATTTAAAGTTTTCTTGTTTAGGTGATGTTATTTCAATTCATGCTAACTTAGAGATGAAATGCTTGATGGACTTTATGATCTCCCTGTTGCCTATAGCTTTGGTTATAGTTTATTTGAGGTCTAAAAGATTTAACCGGTTAGTGAAGCAATTCACCTAACATTATTCATTGTTGAGTGTTCATGGATTTAAGGTCAAGTTCTGTATAATTTTAAGATCAATGCGGGAATTGATGAAGGTTGGTATGAATAGCCAGAGTTGCTATAAATTTGAGCTGATACCCCTTATTGAATTCGTTGCTACACACAATAACTGGCTGGTTGTTTTCATCTTGTTTGTTCTTGATGATTTTTTTGCTCGATGGAGTGGTAAAGTGAAATGATAGTCGGTAGTCCATGATCACATAATGTAGAAAAGTTGCTATGTGAATATGGTTGTCTTAGACATTATGGAAAATTGAAAGTAATGATTAAAAATATGGTCTTTAAACTTTGGGCTAAAAAGAATATGTTCGGATTGCTCATTAAAAACGAAGGCCTTAAAAGTATTTAATTGATGTTTGTTCACAGAGAAGTTCATGAAGAAGCAAATCAAGCGAGGGGGAGGGTGTCTGAGCTTAAATTACGAAGGCAGGAGCAATCAATGGCTCGTCGTGAGAAACTCAGGCAAGCCTATCTTCGGAAACAACTGGAGAAGCTGAAATCTGCATCAAAAACAGAACATACTTGATTGAGTAGAGATGGAAAGGTGATCTGTGCATTGCTTTTACTAGCAAGGATTGGGCTTTTAATCAAACGAGTAGTTGCTTTGTCTAAACACAAGCATTCCATAGGCTCCACCATTAGTTCTTTCCGCAATGAAAACAGGAACCCCCCTTTATTTTTTTACTTATAGCATAACAATTTTTAATTTTTGCTCACTTGAATTGAGACATATTCACCGTTGTTTTCACACCATTCTTATCAAACAGATTGTGATTGCAGTCTTGTCTCTACGTTTATCTGCCCTTTTTGGTTGAGGTTGATTTTGCTGTCAAAATTCATTTCATATTGTGCTTGAGTTTGCAGCATTGGCGTAGAAAATAAAAACAAGTTCGGAGTTCCCAACAAAACACATTATAGCCAATGAACATATTATAGGATTATAACTCGGATTTTAACAGTCAGCAGGCTAAATTTGGTAGAAGTAGAATATTGGGTTTTATCTATGCTTTGTAACCGTAAACATTAGCAATTGAACTATGAGCTGAAATCTATGTCATGGTATTGATGATTGATTTATACGGCAATGACTCTTTGTTATGAAGTTTTATGTTGAGAAAACAGAAGCAGAACGTTGAAGTTCCAAAAAAATAATGGAGAGATGCCTTCTCCGCTGGGCTTGGGTCATGGATGTGAGTTGTGTGGGACTCGCTTAATATTTTATGGTTTATAAAATTTAATGGACTATCATGTATGTTCCAGGGTCGGCTTGGATCGAATTCTAACAGTGGAAAGAACAAAAACTAAATTTCCAATGAAACCGACACCATTGGGGTCGAACCCAGAGTCCCTAGTTCCGTAGACCGGCGCCTTATCATTGGGTCACGGAGTCCATTGTGAACTCGTATTTCTATAGTTCTCTTCAATTAAACTTCAAAAAGTACTAAACAGGCGACCCTACCTGGAGATGAAACCCATAAAAACTGGTTCCGTGGACGAGCGCCTTGTCCATTAGGCCGTCGAGTATCCTGTGGAAGTAACGGCTACTGGTTGCAAACTTGCTATGTTATTTCTAACCTCATCAATGAAATTTGAAAGAAACGATGAGACTAGGGATGAACCGATGGTTTCTAAGAAGTGAGACCTAAGCTCCGGTTCATATGGCTCAAAGACTAATATGAGTAGCAAACATTCCCATACTTTCTTGTCAAATATTCAAACCCCATCAACTCATATCATATGGGATAATATAAGCTTTCTAACGATGCAAAACATACGAAAAATCCTCAAGGGGGAAAAAACTTGTACGTTAAGTTAGAATGTCATATCTCATAAACATTAGCATTCATTTTCATCTCAACCTTCAGACACGTCTCAACCTATATTTTTGTAATACTCAATGTCCCTAGAGAACAAAATACACTACTGTACAGTACTAAACAACAAAAGCCTTATTTTGACACGTCTTACATGCACAAAAAAAAAACAGCAACCACCTTCACCGCCACTACTCACCCATCCTCTCTACCGTTCCACCTCCTCCGAGCGCCTTCACCACCTCTCTGTCCGCCATTTCTTCTTCGTCCACCTCCTTCACGCTAAACGATAGAGACTCTCTCCTCATCAAGAACCTCCCAGTCGGCGGAACCCACAGGTTAAGCAACCCTTGTGGCCTACCCAAACTCCTCCAAACCTGCACCGTCAAGCATCGAATTGGGTTATCGGCCGGCTCAGAAGCATCCCCTCCTTTCAACACATCGCAAAGCAAAACCCTCGCACTCCCCACTGGCTTCTCCCTCACGTGGCCATGCGCGTATATGTCGACGTTCACCGCCGCCAACACATCATTCTCCGCCAGCTTCGCGTGGAACTTCACCTTCATCACCTCGTTCCAAGCGGGGTTGGTCCCTCCGTGCTCGTCTACGTGGGTTTTGGCGACGTGGACGTCCTTTTCCACGTAGACCACTGCGTATGCTTTCATTTGGGTCAAGTGCTTCACGTTCTTGAGGTCTTGAGCTGAGATTATGAGAACTTCAATCTCTCTTAGCTGATATTTGGGTCGTTGAATTTTTTTTCGGGAATCCGGAACGTTATTCATCATGGAAGGTAATTTCTTGGTAACAAGGTTTTGCGATTTTCTTTTTATTTTGCTAAACGTTAACCGAAGAGTTGTAATTTATCCATTGTATTATTGGGCTCACTCAAATTTCAAGGCCCAAAATACAAATTGTTTTGGAATTTGATCAGATTAATTTCCATGTCATTTGGAACTTTATTGTATTCGACATATTTTGAACTTTACCCCAACATAAAATATCTGTGATGATTTTTAATCTGTTAATTGCTGCTATGTTTACTGTATTCTGCTCCCAAAAGCAATAAATTATTTACAAAGAAAGGTTCTACAGAAACCAAAAACTGCCCATATAAAATTTCATCAAGGTGATTGACCATGATTAAGGGAGGGTGAAATTTGTTTAAACATAAAATAATACAAGCAGAACCCAATTATCCAACGACTAATCAGTCCAGGCTTGCATACGGTTTACAAAGGAAATCAAATTAAAATATTAGATGACAACAGGTACAGTACCTTTGAAAGGTTTTGTTTGTTGTTAAACCAGCTAAACAAAGTTGGCATCATTAGAGGAGTAATGCAGCTTGGTCTATAAAAACCATTTGAAATTGGTTTCATTTCAGTTAGCTTCTCACTTGGTATTTGATTTATTTGAGTTCATCAGAAATGGCGGGCAAAAACATGTGGTTGCGATAGTACCACTACGAATAATACACAGGGCCAGCCATGCCCTCATAAGTTACTAGAAATTCATTGAAGCATTAAGCCAATTATAAACAGATGTAAATGAAGACACGTGATAAAATTCTTGCACATGTAAAAGCTATTCTTGGACATTTCTAGTTTATCTATATCAACTACACCCTAAAATAATCTTAGACTAAATCATGAATTTTGTAAACCAAGACTTTCATACCAGACTGAAACCAATCCATCCTCACTCGCGACAGAAGAACAGCTCCATACCTGTTTAGTGTGGCAAATCCAGGCCTTCTCCAACATCTCAAACTATCATATGCACGGTTTCCCCAGCTATCATCAATATATTATCATCTTGCAATTTCTGCAAGTTGCGAGAGAAGTGGTTGCCATTACAATATAAGCTTCCTAATTGGCAAGTTAGAAAACAAAACATGCAACTTTGAAGTAATGGACATCAGATCCAGTAGATATGAGCTTCAAAATGTTATACCCAATAAGGGGATAAAGAAAGGCCATTTATCACTTAGAATATCAAAACTTGTAACATTCTCATTTCAGCCAACCATATCTGTGCACGTTACCTCTAATATAGACATGATTTCAGCCCTGGAGTAACGGACATCAGCTCCAACGTTGACTACATCCTCTACTTCTGCAATAATTATAGTATCCTTGTGGTTCCCACGCATATGTTGACCAAATATAGCTTTAAAAGCTTCTATTCTGCAATCCATCCACAAGGAGACACAAAAAGGAACATCAAATGAACATGTGAAATTGCACAGTAGAGCCCTTCTGAGGGAAAACGTGTTAACTTGTAATTGAAGTGTTTATTAGGTATCTTACCTTTCAATAGAGCCTGTAGCAGTGGTCTGCTCGGCAATTGGAGGATCATCTACTTCCATAGCTTCTGCAGTTGGTCTAATTAAAGCAAAAGAATAGAAGGTGAGCCACATCTAGATAAGTGTTTAACCTTAATTAATTTTGTAATAAAATAATTAAAAGGAAACACTTCTACATTATTAAGATAATCTAATAGTTCACAAGTAACATGGACTTGCAAAATCCATTTTTTAAAAAAGCTTATAGCCTGCTCACCCTTGGTGATCAGCTCTTTGTTTTCTCCCTTCTCTTTTCCTTTTTTCTTCACGGGCCTCCATCTCAGTCAATTCTTTATGATAAATAGAAAAATTTGGAACTTTCAGAGAAGCTTCAACATCAAGACCCGTAACCTGCCATTAAAAGTCATCATGCAAACCTGCCATTAAAAGTCATCATGCAACGGAAGTACGAATAAAATGCATAAATCCTAAATAAATACAAAAGGAAATATAATGAATGAGCCTCAAGGACAAAAGTCACAAAACATGCAATTCAAATACACATAAAATCACCATAAGTTGTGACTACAGTTGATCCCAAAGAATAAAAATGGAATTTAAAGAGAAATGAAAGCAAGTTTTGAAAAAGAACGTTATATGAACATGGTCACAAATCCCAAAACACCATCACATTACAGTAAATGGCTTCTTTATCTTGGAGAATTGATTACCTTTCTACTTAACTTCAACTTTGCATGAGCAGTTGACAGACGAATAATTGTTTCCAAAGTTCTAGCTGTGATTGGAAGGGTTCCACCAGTCTACAAATACCAGTTGCATATTAGAATTACCAACTGAGGTAAGTAGGTCAAGGTATTTGTTAGTTGATTATGAAAACAAACCTTTGCATTTGAACTGGCATTTCTGAGTTCTGCATAAGCTGTTGCAATTTGTTCTGAAGCCTGCAGATGAGAATACTTAAGAGTAAGCAGCAGTTAAGTGTGCTAAGAATGGTCAGGGGTCATGGGGAGACAAGTTAACATGCAATGAATGTTTCTTTTAGAGGAGATATTGCAGAATTACCATGCACAGCTTTTCTATTGATTAAAACAGAGGAAAGAGGAAGAAACTAGAAAGTAATAAATTCAAATGAGGATAAGTGGATTATTGAGAAAAGATATATAGTAAAAGAATAGAATAACCACAACCTCATCAGTCAGCTCAGGTTGAATCCTGTGCTTTGCATAATGGATATACTTTTTGAGGAACTTTATGGTAAGAGTATCATGCTTACGACCTGTTTCAGTTTTTCTCCCATGTAATGAGTCAGTGTCAGCTTCATCTTCTCTTCCATATCTTGAACTTCCATCAAGAGTTGCCTCGCCTGCATCATTAATTACCTTAGTAGGTATATGTGCCACCAGTCTAAAAGAACAAGAGAACTCTTTGCCTACCTCCATCAATAGCTGAGCGAAACCGATGCATTCTCAAAACATGCTCAGAGATTTGACGATCAATATCAGCATCCATTTGATCCAATACAATAAACAACAGATCAAAACGAGAAAGCAAGGAGTCTGGAAGTCTAATGTTCTTTGTTGGAGTCAATGAACGATCATACTGCAGATTGAGCCAACAATTAATATAAACTCAAGGCTTGAGAGTAGTGAAAATGCATATTAGTAACCAATATACACATACGGTTCCGTATATGGGGTTTGCAGCAGCCACTACACTGCACCTAGCATTCAATGACGCATGGATACCAGCTTTGGCAATAGTTACAGTCTTCTGCTCCATGACTTCATGTATCGCAACTCGATCTTGATCATTCATTTTGTCAAACTCATCAATGCATACAACACCTCTATCACCAAGGACCATTGCACCTGCCTCCAGTCTTCTTTCTCCTGATAACAGATATGTTTTATTTCCTCAAAAGCATCAAAAATCAGACCAGAAGTTTAATGGCTAGAATAAAATTGAAATGATGTACCAGTTTCTTGGTCAGAGGTGACAGCAGCTGTCAAACCAACACCAGAAGAACCTCTACCGGTGGTTGAAATGGCCAAGGGAGCAATGTTCATGATTGCTCTTAAAAGTTGAGATTTTGCAACAGACGGATCTCCAACCATCATCATGTTAATGTCCCTACAAAAGGGCAATAATTTAGCTTATGTCAACAGTTTACTGGACAAATAACTCCAAAGACACTTGAAAAGTAAGAGTGCAACAAACCCTCGTAAATGAGTGCCATTCTTCAAATTCTTTTCCACTCCACCAAGCATCAGTAAAACCACAGCTTTCTTTATCCAGGAATGCCCATATATTGAAGGTGCAAGGGAGTTACCAAGCAGATCAAATGTGTCATCACTCTCTGCTATCTTCTTAATATTTTTCAGGTCCTCTGGGCTGTAGATAGGTGCATTAGCCTCTTTGTTGAGCAGAGAGACATTATTAGCTATAAGAACAGTCCTGTATTTGAAATTTGCTCATTCAGGATCAGACATTGAGAGAAAAAAAATCTAAGAATTAAGCATTACTGTAACAAAAATAGCTCATTCAAGATTATGAGAGAGTTTTTCCACAAATTTTATTCTGGCTTATATTCCCACCATGCATGGACTCTGTCCTTATGCCAGTCCAATTGTGCCGTAGTTTTTTATTTAAACTTAGTTATCGGATATTTTGGTTTGTGATTGTAATTGTACTTGTATTAGCAACTTCTCAAAAAAAATACTTTCAAATGATGCACTACATAAGTGATACCTGAAAACACCATTCACGCTGCCCTTGGTTTTTCCTGGAAGAGCTTTATATATCCCTACAATAGCCACACGATCTCCAGGTTTGCATGAATCAATCAGGTCATCCTCAACTATGACATCAACGGCTCGAGGAAGCTGACCAGGTGCAGCATTTTCAGGTACTTCTTGAATTGATAAGGTTTGGTGATCTTTGTAATGGCACAAACCATATTCAGTCACCAATAAGTTGCCATTTTCATCCTGAAAGAATAGTCCCCCATGAGACAATGCTTAATCCAATAGCCACAATGATATGAGGATATCTAATCAATTGAAATTACCCGGGTAGGATAGACAGACCCAGTTGGCAAACCACTGTTGGAGGTGATGTCCCGATATTCCCGAACGGTGAAGTTTTCAGTGGCAGGACAAAAATGAACACTTTTGACAACCTTTGGTCTTACCAGAGAACCTAAATTGAGATAGAATCATGTTAAATATATACAAAGCAGAACGAAGCAAAAGAATTTTTTGATAAAGTTTCCAAAAATCAGCGGGAGCTTTAAAAATCCAAACTAAGAAACTCCTCAAAGCATGTATCCGCTTTTATCAAAATCACAAATTCAATTTTTAGCACATTATATGAACCAACAAAGAATAATGAAATTTTACTTCAAATGAGAAGGAAAATAAAGAGGGCGAGGGGGTCGAGCATTCGTACATTTGGTGACAATGCCAACGACGCAGACCA